AGAGAATCTATTGAAAATAATATTCTTCGTTCACATAATAGTCATTCAATATAATAGGGATTTTTAAACAATTAATGTATATATGACTTATAACTCGGATGAGACATTACTGAATATTGCTGATTTATCAACTAATCTTGTATTCATTAAGTAGAAAGGTGAAATTCATTTGAATACCTTGGATTAGAAAATATATGCTACCAATAGCCTTTTTAGGTGGTTTTTTTCCTCAGACAATTTTATGTAGTTAACTGTGCGATCAAAAAGATGCACTATATATAACCTAAGCCATAATTGGCAAACAATGGAATTCCGCTAAGATCCAATGAAATAACCATATAATTTGGTACTTTAAATGGTAGAGTTGTCCCATAAGTAATTTAACAGTTTAAAATTTCAGAAAATTTCGTCAATGTTTCAATTTTAGATGCCGTTTGTTCTACACTTACAAAAATTCATTCAGTTTTTAGTTGTTTAATCATGTAGGATACAACTGTTTTTCATTTAATTAACTTTCAATATATCTTTTTTTTTTAAACCAGACTAGTCTGTTGAGACAGTGTCATGTTTTATACTTAGGTCAGTTAAAGAAATAAATTTTCCATAGTGATGAGATATATTTGACAGTCATTTTTAATTAGTTCCCATTGATTTATGTTATGTAAGTAATATAAATGTATTCAATAAATGTTGTTCATATGGAAGTCATTTAGAAGTGTAGTTCACTATAATTGATTTTCAATACCTAAAGATCTATGATTAACTGACTAATTCTTTGTCTAATTTTCCATTTTCCATCATGAGAAAGAATAATATGGTCTAAAATTACTGCGTGACCCCATCCAATATCATTGTTTGGAGATCATTTAGGTCGGAATTTTAACAATATAGTACATAAGTGTGATCATTTGACAATGAAATGAATTCATCATTGACACGATGTTGAAGGATAAATTCCTGAACAAATGATCCTGAAATGATCCTAATGTTCTGTTAAATGTTGCTAGGAGTCAAACAAACACATGATTTATAAATCATATATAAATTCCACAACATGAAACAATGTTAAACATACTTCTTAATGGAATACTAAAAAGTATACAATATAATCCGTATATCAAATTTATCATCATAATAATTGTAGGTAAAACATAAAAGTACTGAGATTGTCATTTCAACGAAATACTTTACGATCATTTGAAATCCCGGATGTAGTTTATTGTTACTGTTATTCTATTGTTTTTGTATATTATTAGGCTACAAAATTTATTCCTAGATAAAAGTATACATACAACAATCATAGAATTGACTTATATTCTTGACAAGTTGATATACAAAAGTTTAATTCAACAAACAAAATACATTCCATCATTAAACGAACAATCCATCATTCGTCTTAATCACTTTTTTTTGTTAATCCATTTCCTATCTACCGTTTTTTTTGTTGGGGGAGGGGGGCGGGTATTTACAGATTCTATCCGATTCAATTAAATAGTTTTTGTCACTGAGTCATTCTATATATACAAACTTTTGTTTGTCGAAAATGAATATTAAAAAAACCCAGTTTAATCCGATTTATATCTAAAGTTTTTTTCTTCTTAAATGACAAATGAAGAATCTAATTATTCTAGATTAAAATCGAATTTACCATTCTAAATGATAGAGAAAGGGGTTACTAGCCTTTTTTTTGTTTCTTTCTATAATTATCTTTTGTATAGTTAAATGTGTTTTCTAAAACAAATGATTCTTCTGTCATATAATTAAGCAATATTTATGCTAATTCTAATAGCCAATACATCAATCTATTGATTTCAGTATTCATTCTTGTTTTGAAGCCATTTAAAATGATAAACAATATACAAGTAAATAACTAAGTTAAATGTTTGATATAAATGATTGTTGAATAGAATAGGGTTGATGTTATTTTGTGTAGTAGTCATGTTATCATGATGAATAAAGTCTAGACAAGTTTGCTGAAGGAAATGTTGGAATTATTTAATATTTCAATCGCCGAGATTAATATTTCAAATATAATTTTCACACATAAAGTTTTCTCTATACTTAGCGCTTAATTTTTTCAAACTATTGGTTCTAATGTTGACAAATATTCGTTTGAAATTTAGATCATTAAAAACGCTGTAAAAAAAAGTGACCGTCAACAAGGACTATAAAAAATTGATGTGACTGTAGCTGCTTCGTGGAATCAAATGTTGATCACAAATTTATACGATCTGAGACGCTAACACTGAGTATTTTTGGTCCACGATTAACCTCCTGCATGACTGAGATATTTATACTGAATAATTACTGAGAAGTAGTGATTGTTATATACGTCTAGTCCTTAATGCTGGTCAGATTCCATTAATCAAGTTGCAATGCGAACGTTTGTGAAATGTACTGGACGTCGTCTAAAAAAATTGGATGTGATTTTTGTGCCAGTTGACATTCGTTTGAAATGTCCACTTATTAATTTGTGGGAACCAATGCCCACACTTTAGAATATGATTCAAATAAAATATCACTGTAGCTTGACGATCAAAGACTAAATTCTCCTGGTCATATGGAAATCTATAAAAGGTTTTCGTTCAATGAAATCCAAACATATTCATTGAATAAATACCCTTCTTGAAGTTCTTTGACCAGTGGTGCAGAAATATTAAATCATGGTAACACCTTTTTAATATGCACGAACTCGATGTATGTTTGTTAGTTTGGAAAGTTTGATGTTATTACTCGTTTTTTAGGAGTCAAACAGAGAGACTTTAGACGTCTAAGCAAAAATGTTGCCTACAAACTAGTGAGTTGGCATCCAATTACTTAGATTTACAAGCGTTCAGTTTGTGATACTGCGCATCTATCATGCATCGATATTATTTATACTTGTCTCATGCCCGATACGACTGGGCCCCGCTGGTCATACAGGGACTTTCCTTCCAAAGTTAAACAAATTTGATTTCGTAACAGCCGTTAATTGATTTTTGATTTTCAATTTCAGCTTTTCTGAAGTGATTCCGCTATTTAAAGTATACAATGTATGATTATTTGCCTCCTCAATTTATGTAATCATCATTGCCAGTCTCAAAGTTGATTTCATTTACATAATTTCAATAATGTACCTTGACGCAAATAAACTATTATCAGTCGGAAGTATTCAAGCCATCTAAACAAAGGAAACTACATCTATAAACGTTTGTTTGAGTAAAAAAAATTAAGCAGATCTGTTTCACTATACCTATTGTATACTGAAACGCTCTAAGTAATTAATCAATCAATTAATTAATCAATCATTGGAGAATTACTTTTGAATGCCATGGTCTTGTTACATCCCGATAACAATAGTGAATGGTAACTTTGGGATCCATTTATGGACCAATATTATGCATATATTTTTTGTCGTATAATTGCAAAATAACTAATCTATATGCATGCTACCCTTATTATAAGCTTTATTTTGACCCATAGACTATTATTATACAATTTACCATTTTTGAGTTATCTCTGGTCTATTAATTGTTGCCTCTCACATTCACAGCCACATTTGGCTGAATCTTGTACAAATGTTATTTTGGTACGATTTGGTTAGCCTGTTTAGTATATAAACTCAGTATGTTCGAAATAGGCGTTTGACAGCGTGGACAGGAGAACATTATGGAAACTTCTTCGACACTATGGAGTTCCTGAAAAGATTGTCAACATTATCCAAAACTCATACGATGGATTACAGTGCAAAGTGGTGCATGGAGGACAGCTGACAGATGCATTTCCAGTAAGGACCGGAGTCAGACAAGGCTGTCTACTCTCCCCATTCCTCTTCCTTCAAGTGATTAACTGGATTATGAAGAATTCGACATCTGAAAGGAAATACGGAATACAATGGACTTCTCAGAATCAATTAGATGATTTGGACTTCGCAGATGACCTAGCCCTCCTCTCTCATACACACGACCAAATGCAGATGAAGACAGCAAATGTTGCAGCAGTCTCCGCATCGATAGGCCTCCACATTCACAAAAGAAAAAGCAAGATTCTCAAATGCAACACGGAGAACACCAACCCAATCACACTTGATGGCGAAACTCTGGAAGAGGTGGAAACATTCAAGTACCTGGAACTCAAAACAACTCTCAACCAATTTCAAGGTCAGAATCTTTAATACGAACGTCAAGACAGTCCTACTGTACGGAGCTGAAACGTGGAGAACTACTACGACCATCATCAGGAAGGTTCAAGTATTTATAAATAGTTGTCTACGCAAAATACTCAACATCCATTGGCCGGATACTATCAGCAACAGCGTTTTATGGGAGAGGACAAACCAGCTTCCAACTGAAGAGGAAATTAGGAAAAGACGTTGGAAGTGGATCGGACATACATTAAGGAAATCACCAATGTGCATCACGACTCAATCCCTAACTTGGAATCCGGAAGGTAAGTGGAAAAGAGGAAGGCCAAAAAACACACTATGCCGGGAAATAGAAGCTGATATGAAAAGGATGAATAGCAACTGGAAAGAACTGGAAAGGAAGGCTCAGAACAGTGTTGGATGGAGAATGCTGGTGAGCGGCCTATGCTCCTCGACGAGGGGTAAGGGGCGTAAGTAAGTAAGTAAGTAATGTTCGAAATACAATGATTCATATTGCAGAGGCTGTTATTGGTGTTCAGGATTTAACTGGGTGATCTAGGCAGAAAGCAGGACCGATAAGTACTCTAGACTGCTCGTACGGTTTTCGTGTGTCACTGTTCCAATCGATAACTCGCTGCTCTCTGATTGGCGGTCTTATCACGTCATACGTTTACAAGGCATCCACTCGGCCACGAGATATAACAGGTCTTTAATATCAGCCACATTAACTTTGAATCAATCCTAAAAAGAAACATCATTATTGTAATATTTTCAATTAACGAATACAACAATAATTTCCAAGAATAATTATCGTTTACTCCATATTCATATTCAATTAATCAACTTCTCACTTTTAGAGAACTTTAAAATTTGTATATGATGTAATTAATATTTATTATTGCCTTTTTATGCTTTTCAGCATAGACCTCAAACTGAATTTTACTAAAGACTTTTGTACAAAGAGTTTGATATAAGAAAAGCATAACTTAACATCTAATGGATGTTAAATGTTCAAAAAAAATACCCAGAAAGAACCGACCAAAAAGAATTGGGAGTCATATCAAACTGGATAATAACATTATTATTAATAATAATAGTAATATCCCGATACACAGTCAACTATACAGAATAAATGCAATATCACAGATGTATTTGTAAGATAAAGTAGGAAAAAAAATTGAAAGTGGACCAATGAATTAAGATTTATATATACAGCTAAGAGTGAATAGTTTTATTGCTTCATTGTATGAATTGAATAATTTACATCCCATTAGAAAAGAAAAGGATAAAAGGATAAGAATTATCACATAGAGGACTTAGTACAGTTTATATTCATGGTTAAACTTCAACAAATTAATATCATACATATTCAATAGATGACAATACAACTAGGAAGTGAATACAATCCACATTATTTGACTTATTTTAAAATGTAAGATTGTTAATAAGGACGATCTATCAACTTTTGTCACATTTCTTGTATTCTCCTTAGTTTTTCATCTTTTAACATATATAGGACTCGGCAATTTTGATATCAAACGTAAATGACAAATAAAAAGTCATAAACCATCGAACTTAGGTGAGTGATATAAAGAAATGCTGTTAGATAAGTGCAAAAGAAGCCCCAAAGAACATATATAGAAAATAAAGGAGATATAGTTTGCAATTTATACAGTAGTATCTCTAAATTATTGTTAAATAACTGATCATAAATTTAAAATTCGGTAATTTAATACAACTCTTATCAAAGCCAGATAGACTGTAAGATGGACTAGCTCGTTCATTGTTTGACGTACATCTAAAAAATAAATAAATAAATAAATAAACATAAAATTTCAAGAAAGAAGGATTGTATCAGTGAGAATGAATAAGGAACAACAACGATTCTTACACAACATGTGAGAAATAGTTTCATATTTTCAACTACAATTTTCATTGAAAATAATCACCTCAAATGTGAAATTAACGAATCGAATTTAATGGTTGAATTCATGAGTCAATTAAATCTAGACCATCGTGAAAAACCTAGAAGCACTGGACGGCAGTTTCGTTCTAGTGTGGGACTTCTCAGCAGTGCGCATCCACGATCTCGTCCACGGGATTCAAACCCAGGGCTTACTGGTTTTGTGCGCAAATACTTAACCTCCAGACTATTCAGCCGGCATCCAATGATTTTAATATGTAACTTCAACCAATCCAAGGCGGGATCGTGAATGCTTATTGCAGAGGAGTCCCACACTAGAACGAAACGGCCGTCCAGTGCTTCTTAGTTATATTAAGTGAAATACGGATGCATAATATCATGCCAGTGTTGAACAAGAAAACGCAAACAAATTTATTTAGCAGGTAATAAGGTTAACGTTAACCACATATGATAATTCATTTCTTCAACTGGCATATTATTCCTATTTAAACATTAAAATTGAAACATGAAGTTCAGCGAAGGGATCTCTTTTCAACGAATTTATTGTCAAGCTGTACAATCATATATATATATGAAAATGGGATTGCAATAGGGTCTCCATTAGGTCCAAATTTAGCAAACTGCTTCATGGCAAAACTAGAAAACGACCAATTCTGTTCAATGATAAATCGATTGCACCTATACGCAAGATACATGGACGACACATTTGTCGTTCGTGACGATGATGTTGATTTAGAGGATATTTTACACTCTTTTAATTCATGCCACCCCTCCATAGACTTCACATTAGAAAGGGAGAGAGACCAATCAATCCTTTTTCTCGATGTACGACCAGTGAGAAGTAATGGTTCTTTAAAAAGATCCATCTTTAGAAAGTAACCATGGAATGGCCAACTAAACAACTTCTATAGCTGGGTTCCGTTAAGTAGAAAGCGAAACTTGATTCATTCTTTATGTTATCGTATACATCGGATAGGTAGTACGGAATGCATTAACGAAGAACTCGCGTTCCTCAAGAAAACATTGATGAAAAATGGCTACTCAGACTGGTCCATAGAGGAGAATATGAATAGAAGTAGCGTCGACAGGAAACCTGGTTATTCCGTCCCACAGAAAAAACCTTTACATAAGTCTGGAATTTAAAGTTGATCGAACATCAGACGTAATCAAAAATCGTTTAACAACAACCATTGATAGGACATTTAATGCTCCTAAACTGCGAATAACCTTCACTAGTAAGCACTTATCTTCTGTATCCATAAAAGATAAGCTTACGCTTTTGGTCACCTTTGTGTGCATCTACCAGTTCACCTGCTCTTGTGGAGCAAGGTACATCGGCCGTAGCGAGCGCTCGCTTTCAATTCGGATACGAGAACATATACCAGTTTGGTTCTACAAGGGTGAGAAAAAGCAGTCAGGAGTTCTATACTTGAACAATCAATCAACTGTAATCATTCTACTGACCCACATTCTGATTTTAAGGTTGTTTATATGATCCATTCAAATCTACCTAGATTTATTCGTATCAAGCTCCTAAAAATAACCGAAGCTCTTACCATCCATGAGCTCAAACCAGAACTATGTGTACAAAAGAAGTACGTCTTATCATTATCGTTACCATGGCCTTAATATTATTATTATCATTCTATTATTATTATTTTTTATTATTATTATTACTCCATTTCCCCTTTACTTATGTCTTATGTTCTCATTATTTTATTCATGGATACTCATCATATCACCTTATTTATTTTTGCACCTCTATGACCTTTAATTAATATAACGAAAACCTATTTTTTCATTTTAATCATCTTGTCATATTCATTAAATCTATTGTTACTACTCCTATTACGTAATCTAGTATTATAATCTTGGTTATTCGTGTTCACATTTCCTCACGGAATTGGTACTTTGACAAAACGTTTTTATACATATACGGTTGTCCAGCTTGATAATAAACTTGTTGAAAAGAGATCCCTTCGTTGAACTTCGTATTTTAATTCATTTCTTATTAACTGCACATACAAGCTGAATACAAATATCCGCTATATACACAATGGAATTAGTATTTAGGGATAAAAAACAAAATATCATTGCGAATAAAGACTGCATACGACAAATTTGATCCGCCTTATTATAATCTTTGAATAAAAGTTTCTCAATATATTGTTAAGCATTAGATATAATATTAAAATATACATGTATTTTGCCTTACTTGATGAACCATTTTGTAATGTGCTTCGGAATTCTTTCGAAGAATCACTTAATTTCACATTTTCTTTGAGTATATTTGAATCTTCAGGAGTTTCGAAAACCAGATAAACTTCTTTACTGGATCCTAAGTATTGTGTTGATGGTTTCAATGCGTTTAATTCTTTTGAATTCATTGATTGAAAAGAGAGGAGATTTGATTTCATATCTATTTTCTGTATATTATCCACATTATTATTAGTTTTAGACTTTATATATATTTCATCATTAATTGGCATATAATGCTCTCCAGTCATAGCTTGTAAACTAACCACGTATAATGTATTCGGAAGAAGGTTGTCTAAAACTATAGATGTTTCACTCTGTTCAGAAGAAATAATCAAATTGGAACTATTCAATAACAACAATATAAACAACTATATGTTATGAATTATTTATTAAGTTTTGAGAATTCTCCTATTTATGCATTAGATTCAGTGAAATTTCACACCTACATGTCACATCCCAACTACATTAGATCTAGAAAAGAATTTTTTCCAAAATAAAAGACACACTAGTTGACTTCCCTTTCATAAATAATTCAATTGTACTTCATACATTTGACTCCCTTGATAATTTTGAATAGAGTAAGAACATTGTAAATTATAAAATGAAATGAAATGTACATTTCCATAACAATATCATTGTAAACTGTTCAAATAATTGGATTGGTAGGATTTCCTTGAAAAAAGCGTTTAGATTTTGTTCATTTTAACATGTTAAATATGATACCTAGTAATATAGTAACCAGTTATAATGAATGAAATGTTATAAATAAACATCTTTATCATTCTAACATGTTACAAAGAATAAAATCTTACATTACGTAATACTTTCGTCTCAGCTCTTGTATGATCAATTCGAGGTCGAAGATTTGGCCATGACTTCCATACAACTGATTTCATTGCAGTATCCCGGCTTGGTCCCCATATAATTCTGAAAAACGAAGATAGATCAATTAGAAACAAATCAGAAAACAATCTGATATGTAACTCATTAGTTAAAGCTGACAATGAGCAAATTGTTGTCACACTTGAAACGGACAATTCCACGCTTATATATCATTTAATCAAATGTCTGTCATTGCTAGTCATTTATCTAACACATTATCAATTCATTTCAAACCTAAAATAATGAATATGTAATAATGTCTATTTGATAATTGAGCAAAATGTCAAAAATGTTACCGTGAATCTATGTCTATTTTCAGTTTGAGCTTTTACAATAAAAAGTAATATGTCAGACAGTCTGTCTTTATTGTAGTAAGTCAAACAACTGGATTAGTGTGTTAATATTACGCTTATGGCTTGTAAGCGTTACATCGCTTCCATGTAACTATAATTTGATAAGATAATAAAAAAGTGTTCATATCAAGGTGGTTTGTGAGAATCAGCTTCATTTACAAAATTTGTATCAAAGATTATCTTCAGATACAGAACTGTCGTATACAAGATGCTATTCCCTCAGTGATCTATCGCACATTACTACATAACCAAGTCCCCACACGTTTCAACTGGAGAATATATTACATTATTGAGCCAAAGTAGTTGTATATTTACTAATCCAGTTTTGACAAACCGCTTAAAAAATTGACGAACACATGTTGACACGTGTGTTGCTTTATGTGAGTGATAAGTTTTGGTAATCATCATTATGTAACATACTGATAGGATTCCAACTTAGTAACTCAATAATAAACGCTCCAATTTCAATCTCGAGTGCAACCACACGTGCACATATATGACAAGAACCAAAGTTGGACAAAACAGTTGATTAGCGCTTTTAGCAAAGATTTCCCAATGATTAGAATGTTTAATGATAATCACTAATTACCTATATAAATTATGAGAGAAATGAATCAAATAAAATAGATATGTGAAAAACAGAAGTGTTCGCAACGAAACCCGTTCAATAAAGTATTTTAAATATTGATATAAAGCATAGAATTATAGCGTAATCTTTTCCATGGTGTAAAATAATAGCCAAAGATATATGACGTACCACTGTATTACTAATAAAAAGAACGATAGTAAAAACTTTCTGAATAGAAACATTTATTTACAATCGTTTAGTATATATTGATCATCGAAATGAAATCAAAAGTGATTCTAAATTATGTAAAAGTTCTTGGTTTCATTTAAACATTCTAAGAGTACAATTGATCAGTCTTTTATTGGCATATATGCATCCTCCGCGGAAGATTCAAACAAACAATTGAAAATGAATTAAAACATCATCCCACTACACAAGCTAGTGGTTATCAGGACTCAGTAGCTGAGTGAACAACACGATGTCGTCTGAAGCGAACGACACTGGGTTTGAGTCATGAAGTGGACATCAACTGTGGGATGCACGTATATCCAGCTGACGAGTCCCTAATAAGACGTAACGCGATTCCTGTATTCCACTGCTAGCCATCATTCATTTCTGCTTATAACGCTCGTGACTTAAAGCGATATCAATGCAATCCGAACAGTGTGCATATAAGAAACTGATCAATTGCAGTTCTAAAGATCAAAGGGAAGATTCAAACAAACAACACGAAATGAATTCTATGTGTATATTGAAATTTACTTTAGATTAAGAATAATCTATGTGTTATGTAAATAAACAAAACCTAAGCGTTTTAGCCAAAAAACCTCTCGAAAATCTCACCTGTGGTGTACTGGGAAAATAACTTTACTTGTCTTCCCATTGTAGATTTCTTGAGAAGTTGAGTGTTGATAACTTCCAGATCTTGATATAAGCGAACCTGACTTCCAAGATATATTATAACTGATCGTTGGCGTTACAGATATTTGCTTATATGATACATTTTTTGGTTCCGTTATAATATCTAAAACTGAGTAAAAGAAATAGTAATTATTAGCAAACAACCTAAATATTATCATATTTCTGGAACATTTATAAATTAAAAAGACGTTACTCAAGAACACTACCTGGTTAAATGAACCACGATGAAAATATCCGGAGTGATTAGATATAGTACTTCTTACTCATTTAAGATGTTGTCTTCTTCTAAATGTCTAGATCTTAACAGTCACCATCATAATGTTAGAATAGTCTATATCGTTCAATAACGTTTTCATGTTAAATGATACTTATTTTGTTTTCCATGAGTAACCTTCAGAAAAATAAATACTACCCTGAAAAAATAACTTCATTTGTTTACTTTCACTAACTTACACCCACACAAAGACATACGTTACTACAAATATTTTTTCCAAAGTTTATAAGATTTATATCACATATGAATGACGCTGATGTACTTTAGAACTACAAACAGTAAATAGTTCTTTCGTCGTTTAAAAATCCCTCCTTATTACGTCTCACTAATTTTTCACACATTTAGTCTTCCACTTGATCGAATTGTAATTGCACTATCATATCTCTCTCACCCTATCTGACCCATATTTATATTCTGATCACAGATCTTAAATTTTCACATTACGTATATACAGATTCAAGTTAACATTCTACATGAGTCATATCAACATTGACAATTTTATTCTATTTGATTTGACATTCCTAAATGTACATGCATTAAACGATGTACTTTGCCTTTAACCTGGCCATTTTTCGGATCATTAATTTGGATATATAATTGTAGAACCTGAAGAGAATTTATCGAAAAGAATAATCTTCGTTCAAATATTAGCCTTTAAATAGTTCTTTGCAAATCGTACAACTTCAACCGAACAAACTGATTTCATTTTAGGGGTATAGTAAGATTTTAGGTGGAAAACATCACATTCTATAGAGTTTAGATAACTTCATCTATGACAAAATATAACAGTTTCACTCTGTTCACAGGACACATCACCTATTCAATTACATATTGTCTTATCATAATATAACTGTTTGCGCTAAGGAAAACAGGTTCAACTGAACAAACATTTAACTGAATCTCGCCTCAATAATGTAACGATTTGAATTATATTTTTGCAGCATTCCAATTAGTAGAAAAATTGGAATTCAGGCGAATAAAACACTTCTTGAGGTACGAATAACATTTTTTTAGTTGATTCACCTCATCAGATTAACTAAATGTTACATTCAAATAAGTTTGATCATCCGGTGTCACATTATCCAGGTTAAAGGTAATTCTCTGTAAAATATACATGTGTGTATTCATGTTTATTGCAAATAAATGGGACATTTTTATTGTAATCAAATAGTTTAGGGTGTTTATGTGTTAAGAGCATGAGCTTCAATAGATTAAATGTAACATTTTGGATGTAATTTCCAAGTTAATCGCTTCATTTAGTACAGTGAATATCTTTCACCTTTACAAGATTCTTAACTTTTAATTGAAATATTGCTACTACTCAGGTATTTAAAGTGTAGATCTTATTTCTGTTTCAAAAAATGTATTAATTTGCCACAATCTATTTGTAGCGTATCATCCTCCTGAACTTCCTATCCTTTCTTTTTCGTATCTAATTACTTCGTTTTTGGTTTCTTCATTCAGATTTTATTGGGTTATGAAAGTACCTGTTAGTTCATTCACTTTAAAACTTATTATAGACCTTATACTTAAACATGATATCCTGTTTAAGAATTATTTAAGACTATAAGCTAGAGACAATCAGTTGCTCTTACACTAACTATAAAATGGCGTTCAGAATAGGATTATCAGGACTTCATACTTCAGCATTCATAAAATAATGACTTTTTAACCAGTTGTTCCAGTATAAATCCAAAATGATAACTGATTTTCCGTAGATGTGTACGCTGGCCATTTTTATCTAGACTATACAATTGAAACAATGAACGGAGTCTCAATGAAGAGATATCTCTTTTTTATGAATTGACCAATTGGATATTCCTTGCTCATTTAAGAAAATATATGTCTTAATAAAAATGACTAACTATAACCAGAATATAGTATTTTATTCATTCAACTGCTTTCGATATGTTCTGAACTCATTATTAGCTGAAAAAGGAAAAGTGCATTTAAAAATTAACGGACTATTAACTAACCTTGTGTAGTACCTAGACACTTTGGCTTTTTAATCCATGAAGCTAATTTAACTGTAGAACATGCTGGTGTGCATAACCATGCAGAAAGTTCAACATTATACCCAGATGTATAGACAGGATGAATTTTTTTATCCGGTCGTTTAGATGATTCTTGTTTATCAGACAACAATTCAATTAGATAACGACAATTAAAGTTAAGATTCGTTAACTGTAATGTTGCATGTCTTAAAATGGGCTTTTTGAATTTTTTACCATCAATATGATGGTTAATTCCATGTTTTATTGGATTTAATAAAATATATTTTTCATTTGAATTCAGTGATTCTTTATTCCATCCTGCATTTTCAATTTGAGAATATGAAGGTTTAGTAAATTGATCAATACTATTGGCTATTAAAGCTTCTGATTGAAATGAATTCGTTTCATCTATATTATTACCAGTCACAATGACAGTTTCAATACAAACTTGTGGTATCCAACGAACAATTAACGGACGTGAATTCACTAAAACAAATAAGTTGATTCGAATTAAGTATGTGAAAATAATTAAAATGCTAAGACTATTTTCACCTCTTAGTAAGCAAAGATGGATAGTGGCTAGCAGTGTAATCTAGGACACGCGTTTTGTCTTGTTTGGGACTCGTCAGCTGGATGTACGTGCATCTCAGAGTTGATGTTCAATCTGGGACTCGAACCCAGTACCTTTCGCTTCAAACGCCACCGCGTTATTCACTTAGCTAGTGAGTCCTGATCGCCACTTGCTTGTGCAATGGGGTGAAGTTTAAATTCACTTAGTATTGTTTGGTTGAACCTGATCAGTTGCACTCCTAAACATCAACGGGAAGATTCGAACAAACAATACTAAGTGTATTTTCACCTCTTAGATTCAAAGGACAACCATAGCATACATACATGGATGATTGTGATTGAATGAAGAATATTGATTTTTTGCTTTACTACATGTATATTAATTATAAATTAATTTACTCATTCAGTCGTCAAATGTTTTTTCCTTTATGGTAAAATCTTGTTCTTTATTTCTCTTATCCGTTTTTAGATTTTTCTATTTTTTTAAAATGATTTTATTAAACTAATTTTTCATCATATTACTATTCTTACATAGATTAGACTTGATAATTTGAATTGTGGGTGCGCACTGCTGAGGAGTCCCACATTACGATGAAAGGGCCGTTCAGTGCTTCCAAGTTTTCTATAGTGGTCTAGCTTTAATTGACTAATGATTTCAACTATGAATATTTCAATTAAGTTGAGCATTAAATTATTCATAATAAGAATGAGATTATTATAGTATCAACGTGGGTAGAAAAATGAACTTATAATGCTTTCTGACTAATACATCTATCAGCATAAACTTGAATGCACGAAAAATATTTTTTTAAACATTTAACCAGATCCCTTTAGTACATCGGTATCCTTAGTAAACTAGTTTGTATATATCGACTATATGATCTTATTTGTTCGATTCTGTTTTCGTCATTATGATAATCTAAAGAATTTTGTTTCTAAAAAGCACACTTATTTCAATATCACAAATATGACATTTCTCATGATGAACTCTTCTCTTTTCAAGGAGGATCAATAATATATAGTAGTATAAGTTTATATTTCGAAAGAAATGTTAGTAAGGACTTTTCAACCATAGTAAAGATTCGATAATTTTAATAATTTTAACATAGTAAGCTGTTATTCATTTTTATCTTAACAAATATAATTATAAAATCAGATTGATATCATGAATGGATCACTGTTAGACCACCGTTGAAAACCTGAATGTTCTAGTAAGGAGCTATTACCAGTGGAGTCCACCCGTATCTGTTGTGAGGCGGTTCCTCACTGAATAAAATTGAGGGTCACGGATTATGGTGGATTGGTTGGAATTAAACATTAACACTGTTAGATGTCGGCCGGCTCACTGGTCTAGAGGATAAGCGTTCGCGCGCGAAACCGAAGGTCGTGGGTTCTAATGCCCATTGCGGGGTCATGGATGCGCACTGCCGAAGAACGAAACGACTATCCAGTGGTTCCAGGTTTTCAATGATGGTCTGATATTGATCCATTCATGATATTAATCTAAGCTAAACATTCTTCACAACCCTTTAGTGATAATTAAGAACTCATTTGAGTTAATACAAAAGTACAAGAACGATGATAAATGGATATTAATGACATACATTGAGATATAATTTAATTTGTTTATTGTTTCTTACTACTCATATGATGTTGTCGCCTTATAATATCCTATAGTGGTAACCGATGCAATTATGTACTAATATGTTTAGGCGTCATACAAAATAATCATCCTTACTGATTTACTACTTCAATTGTTTAAATAATAATTCATATATATTTTGGTATCTACTAATTACTATTGAGTTGCTTTGACAATTTTCGCTTCTCATAAATTTAGTTTACTGTTACCAAACAAGTATTTATTTGTATTCAAATCCCTAAGTAAAGTAAATAACAGTAACCATGAGAAGTGAAACACTCATATTGCATGATTAGGTAACTGATGGTAATAGAAAAACAATCACTGTTTCACATAACCATGAAATAGGCGTAAAACATAGAAACATTAGTATAATTTTCGATGAAGTCATTTAAAAAATGAGCCTTAAATATAGTTGATTGCTTCAATGATTAAAAATTATGTGACCATAATCTTTAATTGATTGTTTACATAGGGTATCAAAATTAAATTAAACGTAGCAGGAAAACGTTTCCAATGAAGATTGATAAAATGTATTAGTACTGTTGAAGATTTATGTAAATATGAAAATAAATCTGATTGTTATATTACAAAGATGACTAGGATTTGCCGATCTTAATTAGATTATCATTCAACATTGACACCGATAATAACAATGACAATTATTTTAATAGTTGAATTCATTAGTCGATCTAAGCTAGACCACCATTGAAAATCTGGAAGCATTGGACGTCCGATTTGTTCCGGTGTGGGACTGTACAGCAATGAGCATTGACAGTCCCACATGTGGGACTCTAACCCAGGAATTTCGGTTATGCATGATCCCTGGTAAGGGATCCTATAATAGGACGAAGTTGCCATCCAGTGCTTTCAGGTTTTGATTGGTGATCTCCAAAAAACCCCATTCTGACAATAATAATAATAATGTTACTTACTTGTTTGTTGATTTAACTCCGTTTTAGATGTTTGTTTTAATTCATATTCATATATTTTGAGTTCAGTTATTAAACCATGTCCATCAAAGACAGCTACATCAGTTTCCATTGATAGCTCTGTAGTTTTAAGATTTATATGATTAACTGATGAATCAGATGTTAATGAACTTTTAAATACTAAACTTTTGCTTGTTCCATTACAAACAAAAGAGACATCCGGTTTACCTATACAATAAGCAATAATAAAAGGTAATAATTTTAAATAGGATTCAAATATTTAAATTATGCTTTGTTATATAAGTATAATATTATTTTGTTCTACACAGTACGCTAGTCAATCAAACATGGTAACGTATCTAGAGTACATGACTGCTACTTAGATTTTGAAAAAAAACATGTAATTTACAAATTTGAATCATGTAAATTCAAATGCTCACAGTAAGATAAACAGCAGACTGATCTTCAAATTTTATATTTTCGGTTCCATCTAAATATAATACTGAAGTCAATACACTAAATATTGATATTTTTAGTAGTACAGGGTGGAAGATCATTTTTCTAACTACTCGTAGACTTAAATTTGTTAAAGATTGTCATTGAATATCTTTATGTTGTAGTCTTTTCATAAAATCACTTCATAGAAGTATATTAATTAACAAGAATTATATGATAAGCACAGTCACATACTAAAGAAACCAATCTATTGGTTAACACAGTATTACTTCAACTTATTTATTGTTTAGAAACTATCTAAGAGATACTCTACTTATAGTAAAGACATAGAGAATAACAGTTATAAAGTATTTTCTTAAATGCAACAACGAAAGAGTAACCGGATGGGTATCTACGGGAATGATGAAATATTTAATTACAGTCAGAAAATTAGAATCTTAAATAAGATAGAAAGCGCACTGCAAAGCTTGGAATTTCATTTACTTTTTCCTACTCCAAATCAAACTATTGGCCATGTTTGATGTATAGTACATGTACAAACGGGCATAACTAATTCGTCAATGTTGTCTGAATCCTAAACATTTAGTCCGTAAGCTGTTTATTCAAAGTTTTCCAATTTTATATACAGTTCACACATTATGATAAAACAGAGAGTATATGACACGTTTGAATAAAAAAATTGTGCAAAACCCCTGCACCTTGTAATAAATCACTCATTTAAAAATGGCTAACAGGTTAATTGTATTTTTGTGTAGACGCTTTCAATGCAATCTTCAGTGAAAATACTTCACAAAATGAATGCAGCGGAATCCATGAATCTAGTAGCCCGTCACATATAATTCGGTTAGTCAGAAACATCACCTTAGAAAAACTTTCAAGCATGTTGTTACAAAATATCAGTAAGAAATCTTGAAGAATGCTCCAAAACATTATTTCACCCTACAGTTTGTTAGGTTAAGGAAGAAACAAAACATTTACTTGTAAATTCCTAACGCTTCACAGGGTCACCTAAAATAAGATATTATCTACATTATTCCAGAAAATGGTTCATATATTATAAGACTAAAACTTCGGTATGTATACTAATATTCTGTGTTTCAAAAACCTACCTGAGTTGTGGTTAAGGTGATCTTCAGAGTATGACTCATCATAATGATTCAAATACTTCTTGTTTTTTAGATATTGTACAGTGTTTACATCAAATGTTTTAAAGTTGGCAGTTAGAGTATCATCTCTTTGATCTTGAATTGAATCTACATTTGGAGTATGAATGAATAAAGTATTTGGCTGTGATCTAAGTTGTGTTGAACCCCATTCACTCATTGCAATCACCTGAAAAAAAAATTCAATTATACACAATAAATGAATAACAATCAATACGTATCGGTTCTGTATTAGAAATATATATGACTGAAAGAAAGGAAATTGAGCTAACTAGTTAATACAAAATTTTTGATCGGTAAACACTGATTACCCGCTATGCTGACTAGTGTAAGGGATGGTTGGATGAAAGTTAGGGGCGGCCAAACCAAAACGTGGCATCAGTCCACAAAGTCACTAACTTCTAGTCTGAGCCATGTTGGCAGATGCAGACTACCTGGTTGGGGTCCGCGTGATTATCGTAACCAATGGTTGGAGACTGTGTGACATGGCTCAGAATCGATCACAATGGCGTAGGTGTATATACTCTTCATCTTCCCTTAAACCATGAGATTAAAATTTCTTCATAACTTTCTTCCTTCTTATACTATCTCCTTATATACAACCTATCTGTTATATACTATATATATATCTGTTATATACTACCACCACTAAATTAACTATTTCTATGAATCTGGTGTTCATTTTGTTGTGCTAACGATGTATGGCAACTTGGACCGATGCATATGTGTGCCTGGTCCTATGTTGTAGCTGACTGACTGAAACATTTTAAATTCCTGTAAACACCTCTTTTATATTTCTATAACTAACTAATTGTATTTCGCATCATTCATTATTAATAGAGACTTGAATATGAAAACATAATTGGCTAATATAGATATAATACACGTCGAAATCTGTTTTACTTTAACTTCTTTAAAGGTGTACTTCAGAAATATTAAGTTATAGAAACGTATACAATCTCTTCAATTTTAACTGTTCAAAACTATAATTAAAACTAGATAACTGCACTGAAAAATCTTACCTGAATTCTATACAGTACTCCAGGATGAAGATTTGTCAGCTGATAATTTGTCTGAGACTAATAAAAAACAATTTGAAATAAAAACTAGTGATTATCTAAGAGATCAATGAAGTACATTTCAATGTAATTAACAGAATATAAAGTAGGTAAACAGAGGCAAACAGAGCAATATCTTTTTGATAGGATTTTATATTTCTTAGGTATGTAATTATCTAAGTTATATATTTTAGATATAATAACAAGATAAATGATTTTATGGAATAAGTTAAAAACTGAATTTTACTTGCAAATCCTTAATAAAGTGAGTTAATTATAGGTGAAAACAGTGTGATCAGTTGAATAGATTATTTATCAAAAAAACATTTATACATTTTGAAAAACTCTGTGGTGGTATCTGCTACTAATATCGACAGATGTAAGTAGTATGTATCATCAATCGAAAGTTGAATACCTGGCAGCAGAAGATTAAGAAGAAGACGGTGAATGATTGTTATTTAAATGAAGAAACAATAAAGTCTGAGACATTTAATAAACAATTTGCAATTAAAGCATTGGAGTATGGTAAGTAACTCTGTAATTTTGTGCTAAGTGTATAATCGGTTGTCCTCACCTGTGTTCTTCACTACAGTATGTTTTAAATAATTTTACTCTAATCAAAGTTTTTGCGTAATTCTGGTAAAGTCAACTCAACATTTACTCTTTGACTTCGGCGGCTTAATGTTTGTTTATAGAATGTTAGTGAATACATTTATATAAAATATCATGATTACCGATTCACCACAGCGTTTACGATTACCAATACACACTTATTTCTCAGTGTCAATCAGCGATACATAATATTTAGTATCATTTGTTGCTTTTCCTAAGTACTAACTATTATTTAAGTGGTACACAGATTAGTATTTGCTTATTTTGATAACCACATAATAACCGTATTATTCGAAATACATATAAAATTCGTAGTGAAAGAAGACTTTACAGCAGTCAATTCATTTACTCGACCTTCAACTCTATAGTTTTTGAGAAAAATGATTTTGATGGATTTCATCAGACAAATAGTAACCTTTTGCTATGAATCCATCACACTATTTTCACTTTTTTGTCTTACATAGATGTAATTTCAAGAAAATCGATGGTCCAGTTGTCGTGCAATGAGCATACCAGTTACACTGATGTTAACAAACTCACTTGGAGAATTAAGAGGCTACAGAGCCTGAATAAGTTCAACAGCTTTGTTTTTAATCATTTAGCAACACTGACAGAAAAAATTGAAAATCGGAGCCATATATCTATTCTACTATCAACGAAAAACTACACTTATAAGTATCTGTGTAACCCCTTAGTATAGAAATTTGAATAACGATTGGTAACGTAATCAAGTTATTTCTATAAGTCATTATATGTAGTCTTATAAAAAAACTAGTTCATCGCAGTCGAGGTAATAAATCATTCCATTCTCATGTATCATACTGTGCCGAAACTAGATAGATCTAACTAGTATGCACCAATAGTAAATCAAAAATGTTTATACAGAGCTTGACATAATACTGATTTCCATAAAGTAGATATCAAGTTGATAGCCTCAAATTTATTTACCGATCACAGATCTATTTTAAATGGGTTGTTTCAACTATGATTATTTTCTTGGTTTAAGAGATAGAGTTTACAATAACATATTACATTAGTTTTATTTTTCTTAATGGATCTACGTTAGTCAAAGTTCATACAATAATGTTAATCCTATTTTGTAAATACTGAACTTGTAATACCTTGTTAGCCTAGCAACTTTTCTACATCATAGCAACTATCCTGTTTTTTTTAGTAATCTGTTTGATTATTGTTTATAAAATGAATATTTTAACACGTTTAACCAAAAAATTTCGTCATTAGTTAACTGTCATGAAATAAACTAATATGACAGTGTATCCGTTAAAAGTTAATTTCTACATTTACCTATAATAAATACGTAATTCATAGTTGGGATAGAAATATAATTCGACGAGATGAAAAATAATGAAGTGGTCATCGTACTGAATTGACAATATCAGGTAACTAATTTTAGTTTTAAAAAAAATTTACTCCGTCTAATAATTTTATATAAACTACTTTCTTACTTATCATCATAATCATTTATATTAATCAATAATAAAATCAATAATATTGACTTACGGATGGAACAGTATGTACAAATTGAGTAGGATACTCAGTGAATTCATGATTGTTACCTATATTTGCAGAATCAGGACCCCAAGAAACCTATTTGATAATTATAAATATGCAAAAGAATTATTTATATTGAAATATATTTTCTACAACGCAAAATTACTAATTAGAAATATTTTGAAGTCAAGCAATTTTGTGTATTCGATGTAAAACAACGGTGACTTCATGAATAATGGCAGTCCTAAACATCAATGGGAAGATTCAACCAAACAATGCCAAGTGAATTTAAACTTCACCACATTGCACAAGCAGGTAGCCAGGACTCAGTAGCTAAGTGAATAACGCGGTGGCGTTTGAAGCGAAAGGTACTGGGTTCGAGTCCCAGATTGAACATCAACTCTGAGATGCACGTACATCCAACCGACGAGTCCCAAATAGGACGAAACGCGCGTCCTAGATTTCACCGCTAACCACTATCCATATTTGCTTATAATGCTTATCAATTAAGGCTATGTAGATGCAATGCACATATGCCAATAAGAGACTGATCAATTGCGGTCCTAAATAATAATGGAAAGATTCAACCAAATACTACCAAGTGAATTTAACAATTATTACTGTTTCGGCGAAATATTCCACTGACATAAATGAGTGATTTGTTGTAAAGCCAAATGGAAAATACTAATAAATGGGTAATTCATGGAACTAAATTACTTAGATCAATTTGTCATGAATTAAACGTAAGATTGCTGTAATGTCTGGGATGAGGTGAAAAATCATCTCATATTATTTACAAAACAGTAACATATTTAAATCAGAACAACTTTCAAACCTATTTAGGTATTACCTCAGGAAATTAAGATACAATTATGACAATTCATTTGTCTCATTAGTGACTTGTATTCTAAAGATTTGATTATAACCATACTACAAGAAACGAGTAAAGATCTATTTTATCACTGTGGAATGTTTGAAAGTTATTGTATGGTGATGTTCATAAGAAAAAACTAACAAATTTGTTCATATTACAAAGGCAAGCATTCATGAACATTTCCAAGGAAGAATATTCTTGAATAACACTATGTGAATATGCTGGACATTTGTAAATCGCAAATATTGATTTCAGAAGATTTGGAATAGAATGTAGGAGTTATATTAAAACTGTGATAACATAACGGTAAAGAATAAGTTTAAACACGAAAGTTTATGGTCCCTTTGCTAATAAAACGTCTGAAAAAATTGGAACCCGCTTATGAATTACTAAAACTTTTTAATTAATAAGGTGTTGGATACAAACTATAACAAAAAACCAAAAGATTATATTATTTGAAGCTTTCTCATTTTCAAAAATTCCAAATGTAGTTTCTGGAACAGACTGGAAAATTAAGCGTTTTTATCATTCTTAATGTCTAAAAATGAAAATTATGAAAACTTATGAGATGACCCAAGTAAACTGTGGTGAATAGATGACTCAGTAATTATAATGTTTAGCGGTTACTTAGACTATGTTAATTCACACAATATTAATAACGATTATTAGGATCACGAAAGGGGCTATGTTAGACAATCTTTGAATACCTGAGAGCTCTAGACAGTTGTTTTGCCTGATGCGGAACATCCCATCATCTTTTCAGCGCTTCTGGGTTTAAAACAGTTATTTGACCTAGGTCACTTCATATTCTTAATTACATTCAATAGCCTCCCCAAACCCCCATACTGATAATATCAGTAATGTTAGACGCTCAAAATATTAGCCTCAGCAAACTCCGTTACCATATATTGTAATCATAAAACTAATCTGTAAACAACTGTTTATTGTTTTTTAAGTTTTCTTGTTTAGTAACATAACTTTAAAACTTTATTGTGTGAATGATTTAGTAAAAGCACTTACCCTGTACTCAGTGACTGGTAATACCGTAGTTGCTGGACTGTTCCAATGAATCTGAACTCTAATTTTTCCGTTAGCTTGTAATGTTAACAATTCGTCGGCCAAGTCTCTTGGAGGTGATGGAGGGCTAGGTTGAAGAGTTGTCAATTGTACAGGTGGAGATGGAGTGTCAAAACCAAGAGAACCCCACTGATTTACTGCTGCCACTTGAAACTGGTACCACCAACCAACAGCAGGATCACTTAGTTGGGCACCTTTTAATGTAGACTAATATAAAAATATTTAAATTATTACGATACCAACCGTATTATCAAAATCTAACTCATTCAGGCATTATTCAAGGATTCATAAAATGTAAGGAAGTATTCACCTAGATAAACCTTTGATATAAACTTTGAAATTATTTTATGTTTACGGTGGCTTACTAAAGTCATTATCGCACCATAATTTTCAGAAGGTTTTCAGTCATTCAGCTTCATTTATTGAGGGATGCTTCCACAGTACCGATAGAGAACAAACCAAGTGAAAATTTCAAAGAATCTCATAATGTTCAGAATAAATTTTGTTCTTCTAATTGCATTTTTCATGAATTTAATTACTTTTGTAGGTAAGCAACCGTTTTTAAATAATCTAATAGCTTAAATAATTGGCTAACTAATTATTTCTATCCAAAAAATAGATAAAGCTGGAAACAGTTAAAAAGCTGCCTTATTCAAATTACAATCTTTAACGTATGAAAAAACGTTTATTTCCCCAAAAAACATAGATTAATGAATACTTGAAAAATTTTAGTATTAGTAATTCTGAAGCGCTATTCTTTATTTGAGTCCTTAGGAAAAAATGCGAAAAAATACCTATAGCGATTTTCGGGATTAAATTACATTATAAGCGAATACGGATTGTGATTAGCAGTGGAATCCAGGATGCACGTTTCGTCCTATTTTGGACTCATCAGTTGAATGTACCAGCATCTCAGTGTTTATGTTCACTCTGGGACTCGAACTCAGTGCCGTTCACTTCGAACGCCATCGCGTTATCCACTTAGCTGCTTGTGAATTAAGGCAATACTAAGGCGAGACGCACAGTATACACATACGCCAATTAGAGACTGATCAATTGCCGTCCTAAACATCAATGGATAGATTCAAGTAAACCATATTAAGTGAATTAAATTACATTGTTAAAAATTACTTATATCTCCAACACATACTGGTAATTTGTCTAACGAATTTTAATTTCATAACCGGAATCAGTTTTTCATTTCATCATGATGGCTTAACTTAACCAGTCCGTAAATACGGACAATTTTTTTTCCCGAATCATTAAAATACACTAGAGTTAGTAACGAAGATCTGTTAGAAATATAAAATATTCTGAGTATCGTGATAACGTATTACGTTCACATTACTCATTTGTAACTCATGTAGGAAATACATTTGTTGAGTCGAAATCTTTCTCGCTTTTAAAATAGACAAATGATCAACTTATCTTACTAGATTATCATCAAGATGAAAAAAAGCACTGTTCATATGGATCACATTGGTAAGAAAAACTACAACATATATTCTCCTTTATACACATAACTACCAGTCAACTGATTTGTTTCGAAGTGTAACTAATACATTAGTTTCAATATATCACAGTCATTTGATATATCAAAAGAAGATCGTAGATAAATTAATATAAAAAAATCCATGTTCAAAGATAATAATTTCAAATTTTGTTTTTCCCTCCTAAGTCATTATTGATGTTTTTCTACTAATTTTTGTTTGTTTGTTTGTTTTTACTTCAAAACAATTTTGACAGTTGAACAAAATAACAAAAAATAGATTAAAATAATGAAATAGATCAATTTTAAGAAAAGGTGAAAAAGATAAATAGATATAAATGATATTTCAAAAAAAAATTTGACATTGATGACAAATTTCTATTGTACAAGAAAATAATCTTAACAAAAGAAAAGGTTATATGTACATTTTAATCAAATACATTGGCAAAGATTTTGGAGTGATGGAAAAGATTTGTAGCTTAGGTAAATGATTTTGATGAAGTGTTGTTCTTTAAGATGGATGGTTTGATTATGGAGTTTTGATTGTCCTTCTGAACGATATCATCAACACAAACTCCGAATGCTGATGATGTCGTTCAAAGGAACGATGAAAGCTCTATGACCAAACCATCCAGCTCAAAGAACAAAACTCCATCAAGATTGTTAATGATTGCTGTTTTAAATATTGAAAATTAACGAGAGAAAAAGAATATTTTTTTGTTTTCTTCAGATTGAAATATCAAATTTTTGTGTATTTTTTTGTTTTTCGATGAACAAATAAAATAATCAGTTGACTTATTTTTATATGTGAAAAATTATATTTAAAATCGTTTCAGCGATTGAAATTTAAATAATTCCAAAAATACTTCAGAAAGGTTTCAACACTCATAAGGAAAGATTGACAGCGGAAGCGCTGTATATATGGACGAATCAGTACAGCCTAGACAGAAAGGATGGTATTCAACTAGCAACCATTTGGCGAATATTCATCAACAAATAATTTGACCCTTTCTTTATCTAACCTGTTTATTTCACATGAATCGTTATTTTGACTGAAATCAATATGAGTTATGTTTAGCATTACAATTATGTACTTGATAATTCGCATTTTTACTTGCACTTCAATGATTCAGAAACAATTTTTCAACCTTCAATTTACACTTTTATTCTTATTTTTACTTCACATGGAAACATATCAACACCGAATATCATTCATTAATAACTTTGATGATTTTAATTTTCATTATTACCCTGAAGGAGTACAGACAAGTTAGTTGGACGAAATGTTGGAATTATTTAAATTTCAATCGCTGAGACTATTTCAAATATAATTTCCACATATAATGACTTCTCTATACTCGGTGCTCAATTTTTGTCAAGTTATTCGTTCTAACCTTGACGATTATTCGTATAAATTGATTTATTACTTATAAATTGATCTTATTATTTTATCTAATTAAATACCATTTTTGTTTCCTTTTAGTAAAGTTTATAAAACATTGAATTAAGCCAAATAAATTATAGGAGATGCTATTTTGTTTATTATTTTTTAATATTGTTTTGCGCAATCTAATAATAAATGAAGTTTCGATAAATCTATGTGACATTTATCTTAGTTGAAAGTGTATGAATGTCAATTTAATTAAGTTTATAATCTGTAATGTTATTTCATGTGATGTACTTGAATCATAATTAAAAATAACGGATAGAGTGTAGCTTAATTGTTTATTATGTTTGTTTAATCCAATGATATGGTGTTTATATTGTCAATTCCAGATTTACTTCCATTCAGGCAATCGAATAGTATAATTATCCCTTACACAAGAAATTTATAGTAAAGTTGATTACATAATCCTTTACTTTGTAAATAAGTAATATTAAGTTCTTCAATTAATTATATTAATAAACAGTATGTATAATATAAAACTTCATATTGGTTATTCTAATGAACTATATTCTTAGATATATCATGACTTATATGTCTATTTAAAATAGCCTGCTTCCACATATTAAATCATTTATGCAATAGTTTCCATAACACATATCTTTATTCAATCAACTTAGTGTTAACTTAAGTGTCTTCAAGAGACTTAAATTTTTGCTACTCATGCGTATTAACATGACTTTATAGATTACCATACCACACTTTATCCTAGAAAGTTGAAAAAAGGCTCGAAGTAGGAAATAAACTTCTTTTCAAGTTTCTTCAAAGTACAGAAGATAACAATATTTGTAGGTAGCTTCCGACCCTAGGGTTCTTCTTTATGCGTACGATACCTGGTAACAGATTAGGTAGTCATTCATTTAATGTGATACATTACCTATCAATTTTCCAGAAGTTTCCGTGGGGTATGCTAGTTGAGTGTGAAGCTTTCAGACGTTTTCCGGCTTTTCAGGACATTGTCGAGGAATCCTCGGGGCATCACAACAAGAAATTCAGGAAAACGTAACTTATTTACAGATAACACTACTTTGTTTAACAGATGAATGTATTAAAAAGCAAACAGATTAAATCAACTAAAAAAAAAATTGTTTTAAGTTTTTGATGGTTTCGCTTATCAATCAATTTTAATTATATTCACACCAACATCGGTAACAAACATGAGATTTTATTAACCACTTGTTAGACTTATGCTTTTATGTAAATTCAAACAATTCCTTTGCTTAAGTATGATTTTTAATTGTTTAAACGTTATGAACGCTATGATAGGGTAGCTTGCTATATAAACGACAGAATACTGGCAAAGTAAATAGAAAAACATAGTTTACATAGTAATAGCATTGTAAATGCTCACTTACACTTCACTCACTAAATCTTTCTAGTTAAATAACTCGCATTTGACTTAATACCTATTGTTTTAAATGTTTATTTATTTCTTCGCTACTTCATCAGATTGTCTTTCTCAGTTTACATCATTAATCATAGTCATCATAATCAAAACAAATGAAATTCTGAAACCTTCCGTACAGTTATATGCAAATCAGTGAAATGCCAACAAAAAAAAATGTAAATTCAATGAAATCATTGATGAAAACATTTGCATACAAGTAGAATAGGTGATTTCATCGAAAAAAATGTTCTCATAAATAATTTTAATATAAATAAAAACAATTTTATTTGCTTGTGTGTATTATTAATAAAACGCCTTCTGATCTACAATCACATGCTTACTAGTGACTGACTTCAAGGGATGTTTCCTTGAGTTCTAGTAGGAAGCAGTGACCAGTTGAGTTCAACCACATCTGTTGTGAGATAGCAACTCACTGAAGACAATTAGTGAACGGTTGATCGAATTTCGTGGATTGGTTGAGGTTAGGCAATAACATCATTGGATGCCGGCCGCCTCAGTGGTCTAGAGGTTAAGTGTTCTGGCGCGAGACTTGTAGGTCCTGGGTTCGAATCTCGCGAGGCGGGATCGTGGATGCGCACTGCTGAGGAGCCTCATAATAGGACGGAACGGCCGTCCAGTGCTTGCAGGTTTTCCATGGTGGTCTAGCTTCAATTGACTCATGATTTCGACTATGAGAATACTGAAATCTCCACAAAACCCCTTCTGATCAATAAAAGAATAGTTTAACACATTTGCAAGAAGTATAATAAGAATGGATAAGCTGATTTTACAAACCAGTATGAGTACGTCTAAAAAGAGGAACTAAAAGTTACAAAAGGAGATGAGTTCTAGTCAAATCATAATAAAGAACCGTTAGGTTATATTTTTTTATGATAGTATGTTCTTAAACAGCCTATGTGATGTGGATTTTATTTGGTTCTGGATTATCATAAAAATATTTACTCCTGATTAGAGAAAATCATGCATCAAATCCAGATGTTGAAATGGACTGTTTACAAGTCATATGGAATTTGTTTTAAATCTTCAGCTTTTTTGGTCGATATGTGTTAACTGATAGAATAAAGTTTGAATTTATATAAATTATTAGGTGTATCAAGTATTTTTGTTTACTTTTATATCTTGTATGTTATTAATGTCTTTACTTTTTACTAAACAAATGATCATGATTGGTCGAAGTTAGACATCAATACCGTTGAATAACGGCTCAGTTGTCTAGAGGTAGAGCATTCGCGCGCGAGACCGTAGGTCTTGGGTTTAAGTACTGTGTGCGGGATCGTGGATACACACTGCTGAGAAGTCCCATACCAGGACGAAACAGAAACCTAGTGCTTTCAGATTTTCATTGGTTATCTAGCTTAGACCGACCCATGCATACGATTTCTTTTAAAAGCTTTTGTTTATTCGATATACTTAACTAACATCCACCAAGAACTGAAATCGTAAACGTCGTACCCATGGTTTTATTGGAAAAGTTAACTTCATACAACTATTTACTAAATGGTAACTAATGGAATGTTTTAGTTTTCAGTTTTAATCAATTTGTATTAATAAAATTATTTACTTAAATCATAGAAATCAAAGCTAAATAGATATTTAATCAAGTTAACTAAATTTTCATGCTGTCTTATTGAGCCTAATCAACAAACGACATATCACAGGGGAGTTGTTGTACGAAAGTCATTTCAGCAAATCTTTGTTGAATAAATCATACATTCACTTCAGATATATTATTATTCTTTTCATATTTTCGATCGACTTACCTAGTTTAAACTAATAGTTATTATTAAAGAATACTTATTTAAAGGTACTATATGATATGCTAAATATTTTAAAACGTCTAAAACTTAAGCTTTATTGATAGTAATTAGAAACTTAGTTTTAAAGAACAATGGATGTTTAATCGTTAATATACTTAACACAGAATGCCTAAATTTTTAAGTACTTGTTCCTACAATTTTGAGGCAAAGATTATAAAGATAGGTTAATTTAATTCTGTAATAATATAGAATGAGTGACTTTAACCTCTAATATGTTTCAAAAGCATTCAGTTGTAAAAAAAAAACATTCACTCACCACAACTAATGTTTTCCAGGGACTCGACATGCGGTTATCAAATTCCGGGCCAAAATAGGATTTAACTTGTAGAACGTACACAGTTGGTAAGCTAAGGTTACTGACTCCTATTTCGTTATTATTCCAAGAAACAAGAAACGATGGTGGATGTTTTTCTTCCAAAATACGTACTGTTGGAACCGGGGGCAAGATGGCTGTCAAAGTCAAGCACATAATAGAAAATAAGTGATATACTCAAATTACAACTGAGACACATCAAAAACATCAAGCATTTTTAGTCACTAAATACGAAGTAGCATTGAGATTTATGGTTTCCTTTTAGACTGATCTATTTATAAATGTCGATGTTGACTGTGTTCAATGTCATTTATTTTAAACTGAGCTTAATAAAATTTTTACGAAAATGTGCCGCTTTGTTAAAGTAGGAAACATGATGAAGAAGTTACACTCATCAGCTTCAGTCATTCGATTAATTCTTAAAATAGAAAACAGCAAAATATTCAAGTTTCATTTTTCGTTTTTCTACGATATGTATAGTGATTGTGTCAAATCGAAGTACCCCATTATCAACTGGTATCATTCAAACAACTGAATTCTATGGTCATTTGTATTTATACCGATTCGGATTTAATGCATAAACGTTATACATATCGTTTACAGACTGTAAACATTATAATACCAATAATGAATTGGCAAATTACTTGCATTTAAATGATTATTGGTTGGATTCAATCACGGTCCAGGTCAAACAATTACAAACTCTGTTCTATTACAGTCATGTAGTCACTTCTTGGCCAATGAGTTGTCTATATTATAAAGACGAATATAGTTTAGTTGGTTTATTTTGATCTTTCCTATTTCTGTTTCTAATACTAAATGTAAATAGAATTTCAGATATAATCTTGAAGTAGTATTAATTTATTTTAAAATCAATCTGTCAACTGTCTCATAGTTAATTTTATAGTTCGATTCATGAGTCAACTGAAACTAGACCAGCATGGAAAACCGGGACTGTTGTAAGATAATAGCTAATTGAAGACGATAGTGAATGGTTGGTCAATTTCATGGATCGGTTAAAGCTAGAAATTAACACCGTTGGATGCCGGCCGGCTCAGTGGTCTAGAGGTTAAGTGCCCGCGCACGAGACTGATATGTCCTGGGTTCGAATCCTGCTAGGCGGGATCGTGGATGCGCGCTGCCACTGAGGAGTCCTACAATAGAACGAAACCGCCGTTCAGTGATCCCAGGTTTTCCATGGTGGTTTAGCTTCAATTGTTTTGTAAAATTACTAAGATCCCCACGAAACCTCTTCTGATCATAGTTAATTGGCAAAATATCATAACTACCAAACAAACGGCAGAACATTGTTTGTTTGGATATTATTATCGGCGTACGATAGAGTAAAATTTCATGAGAATTACTTCAACAAACATTTCGAGAGCAATCTATTGTCTTTAGTTATATTGAAACATACACCATTCTCCATTTCATAGTTCTCATTATTTCTAACAAGGAATATAAAGTGCATTTCTGAGATAGAGTTTAACCTCTTGTATTTTTAATCTTCATTTTTCTACTCATGTAGTTTTAGAAGATTATCCGTTTCTAGATTTAAAAGGTGTTGGCACATGATAAAATTAACTCTTTTTCTGGAAGATATTTCTTGTAGATTTTATTAATAAAGGTAGGATTCAATTTGAAAATGAAAACTTGTGCAGTGACATTTTTTTAGCAACATTTGATATGGCTAGCAGTGGAATCTGAGAACGCGAAGATTCATTCTTAAGGATGACATTTAATTACAATGGATTTTTAATTGATTTTAGGTTATTATTTTAACGTTCTATATGAAATTACCTTTATTAAATAAGGCTTGTTTGCATTGTGATTGGCAACACTTATCTTGCTTTTGTGGACATTCAGCATCAACTGTGCAGCTGGTTATTTCATTAATTGCACTATGATGTGTAAACCAAGAATTCTCCAGCATATTGGTTTTTAAACCGTTTTCATTGCCAGTTAAAGAGATAGGTTTGTCCAAATTAGGCTGTGAAGAATCGGGAGACTCGTGTGATGGATAAATTTGAACATCGTTTTTAGCAGATACTAAATTTGGTATGCGATGAATTGCAAGGCCAATCTGCTCGGGACAATCACCAGAGCGTCTCTTCAGTGCTGCATCTAAGGATCGGCAACCAGTAAGACATGACCATCCACTAGGTGAATCACCAGACTAAACAATAAAAAAATCATTTAATCTAAATGTATCGAACTGATTATTAAATTACACGGTTTATGAAACCGTCAACTTATGAACATCGTTTTAAATTAGTAATTAGAATAATAAGCATTTGTAACCTTTGTGTTAGAACTAGATGACACGTTTTCACTGCGTAATAAGGTAATGAATAGTGTAGTGAACGAGAACACAAGTGGGGGAAATCGAGTGCATTTTAATACAAAATTACAGAATATCTTAGTATAATCTGAGAACCAAACAGTAAATACTTCATTTTTAAAATGTCAATCAGTTGTCGCAAAATTAAATGTTCCTTATGCAAATATCAGTCAACCATCTCAGACTTCACTGTTCTTTAGTTTCCACACCGATCATTCTTTGTTCTCTCTCCTTTGATCTTCTCAACCTTCTGCCTCCAGACATTTCACTTTCGATTGATGGTACTGCTTATATCAATCAACATCAGTAGCATACACCACATTAGTATTACATAAATAACTATACTAATGATTCAACATCCCTGCTCATTTTCAATATTCTAACTAGAATGTGAGTAAAATGAAATTAATTCCATACTCAGAATACGGTTAGATTTACTTAAATTATTTAGTACATTTAGATTTAAAAAAGAACTTTGTCGTAAAATTAAGTCAAAAACTTCATTGAACTATTTATATTTTGCTTTTCAACTCTTATTTCTAATATCAGATTCAATGACTAAATGCATAATGACAAAACATCAGGTTTAAGATAACTTATTTATGCTATACTACATAGTTCATTATGTCGATCACTATGATCATTGGTCATTATCATGTAAAGTTCTTATAATAAGTTACAAATGAATGCTATTCAATACTTTTGTACTTTTTATATTCATAATTAGGATTTTTATTGTATGATGAGTTTATCAGACTACATTTTCTCTCTATTGTTATGGTTGTTAGAAGGGGCATCGGTCTCATGAATTCCGAAGAATCTCTGCTTCCATCATGAGGCGTCATAAATCTTCGTTCAACTCTCAGATCAGAGTTTAAATGGTTTGAATTATTTTTTCTGATTTGAGTTTTTTAGCGAGTTAGTTTTCTACAGGATTGGATCGCTAACCCCGTGCCCAACCTTCCTTCTTTATCCGGGCTTGGGACCGGCAGTAGCCTCCGGGGGAGCTACAGGCGATGTTTTTCTATTATTATGTGGTTAGATTAATATTATTATTAATGAATCTTATCTATTCACTTTTTTAGAAACTTCGTTGACTAAAACTGTTTCATGTTAATTTACCTAGAAAATGTCATTTTAATTAAAGCGAAAGAAAATGAATTGAGATTGGTACAAGACTGAACACATTGACAGTTTAGCAAGTTTGTTTCGTTTTTTTTGCCTAATATCTTCAATTTTCTATTTCGCATATAGTATTGATATTGCTTTGTTATTACCTATGACAAAATATATTGTTCATCATAATTTACATCTAATAACCAATGAATACTAGATAGCAAATGTTCTATCTTAAGTTTAGATAATTCATAGGTTCAAACTTAACACCAACCACTTGGATATAATTAAAATGAATTCACTAAATCGGCTGAAGTTTAAATATTTGAATAATACTATTACTTTTATAAAAGAATGTAATATTAGGTGTAATGTTACACGAAATACACACTAATTCACAGTTTCCATTGATAAAATGAACAGTTTACTGGATAAGAATCATCGATTTGACTGTTTCTGGCATTTACATAATCAAAAAAAAAGAAAGAAAACAGTGTATGTTCAAATTTTAACAACCTAGATTTATTCTTCGTAAAGCTGTGATATATAAGTTGAAAATCAGCCTTTTCAGTTACTACAATCATATTGAAATTCACATTGACAAATTGAAGTGATTGTTCAGAATGAATATTAAAACATTTATATATATTGTCATGTCATTGTATAGTATATAAAGTCAGAATTTGAATGACAATGAGAAAAATATGACGAGTTTTATATTGAACTTTATCTAATGATAAGAATTACATTTGGCGGTAAAAATCTTATGCTATACATAACAATACACAAATCTCAGATGAAACTTGAAGATATACATTTTTAGATAGAGACTTCCTTTACTATGGTTAAGATTGTTAAGTCATCCATTCACATTAAAGTTATGATAATAGGTGTTACCCAATCAACAACAGGTTTCATGAAATACCAGTTGCGATGAATGTTGTGCTGAATATAATTTTACATTAATCTGTTAGCACTAACCATGATTATAAAGAGTTTAGTAACACTATATACATTATTATAAAATTAACTTTTTTATAGTTGTGCACCCAGCATTCCAGTATTGCTATTCTTTGCTTTGATATTGATAATTCTTTAGTAACTTACCAAGCCTAATTTCTAACAAGTTGATGCATGTTGTGATGAAGTTACTCGATTAGAATGAAATCGTTACATACATTTTAAGGTGCTTCTACTTCATAAGTAGTCAAAAATATCAATTGATGTTCTATACATACAACTGACCTCAGAGCATACTGATACAACTGAAGTTAGAATTTGTATCAAAACTGCCGAAGTAAGTAGTATAACGAGTAAGTGATAACGACTCCATACTCACTCTCTCTCTCTCTCTCTCTCTCTCTATATATATATATATATATATATATATATATAATTCTATGAGTCATCACAAAGTCCTTCATTAAAGGTAAGATGAGATACGTGAGTGTAAATGATAATTACAGCAATTAATAGAATTATCTATTCTCTTTGTAATTTACAAAATGTAAATAAAGTTAGTTTTAAATAGAACATGGGAAAAACAGAATTGTTAGCAACATCCACTAATTGTTGAAAAACACCCTATGAATGGGATATTCTATTGACGAATTGAATAATGAAGAAATTATCATTTACAGATGTTTAGTGAATATAGTTAGAAAGGACACCAAAGGAACGAAAAGATATATATAATTTTAAAAATAACACAAAGCAAATATGTATATTACATTATTATTCAAGGAACATACCTCGCACATTTTTATGCAGTCACTATAAAAGCGGTCTGAATCGCAAGCCTGTTCACACTGTAAAAACACAAATCACAGAATGGGTTTATATTAGACGACTTGCAAAAGTAATACTTATATATATTAGATACGTTGATTAAAAATCAATACATACAGTTTGATTTGAATTGACACATCATTCCTGAACGCTTATTCTTAAAATAAAGAAGCATTGAAGAGTTGTCGAGTTGTAGAATTAAACATTTTAGTAGTTTCTGTCAATGACTAGGCACATGAAAAATTATAGGAATTTCCGCTTTTGTTGCTGACATCGTTTCGTAAGACTATTTTGTTGTAATTCAATGGTTTACAGTTAAAAAATCTACATTCATCTTAATACATACTGATCAACATTAAATGACGTCGGTGTTACCTGATACACATTTTAGATGGATGAACGCCATTAGTCAAGATTTATCTGTATTAGATTAATTCTTTCTGATAATATCAATCAGTGGTTACGTGATTATTACAACAATAATTTGTAGGACTAAAATCGTTTCTCGTATTTCCTAACATTAAAATGTTTTTCGCTTCGTGTTAGCTTTTGAAGATAACTGAGATCTAGCTGAATACTTAACAACAATTGTCACCTAATAGTCCTTCATCTTACTGGAACTTTGCTTTAGTTTACTAAATGTTTACATTAGTTACATTTAAATATTTGAATTCACAGAAACTAAGATAATAAATTGAATGTGTAGAAGCTCACTTAAAACAAACATTAGAGAAAATTTGTTAGTGTTTTTATGATTAATTTTCATGGATTTTGTTTTGTAAATCAATTTAACCTAGTTGCTATCCGACTGGTGAAGTTGATATTCAGATTTTCAAAGTTTTGTTCTAACTTAATCTACAAACTGTGTTTCTGGAATATTTTATCTCTAAGTTTGTTGGCTTTACTTAAATAACAAGCATCAATCGAGAGTTTAGCAGAAAATGAAAATAATTTGTTATCAATCTATTAACCTGCAATTTATACAGTTAAAGACAGTTGAGTGTGGTCTATAACTATTGTTTTAAAAGTCAATGAATTTCAAAAGCAAATTTTAACTGTCTTCGTTTATAAACTCAACACTTCAATCACTGTTCAAATAGTTATTGTGTCTTTAGATTACTGACTTCGGTTTACGGTAATTTAACTTGGATACTGAATTCATACATGAAAAAAAAACGAAATCAGCCTATTACTTATTTATCTTTTTGAGGAAGGGTTCATCTTCGAAGATTCTATTTCTCACAATTATTCCCAATTTAATTATTCACTACTAACTGATATCATGCAAACTCATATTTAAAAAATCTACGAAACTGTATTTCAATATAAACATTACATAAGCTTACTTCATCATAATACAAAAATCCAGGAGATAGTTGACTACATTTATCACGAAGTTGAACTGGTGATTTTATCAAATTATTCACAATCTCTTCGATCTAATTTCAATCAAAACAAAAGGTAACGAAAAAAAAGGAAAATGAAATCATGAAAAAATAAATAAAAATTTTAAAAGGTAAACGTATTTTAAACTGATATCATTCACTAATCTTAACTGACCTTTAGGTGTATGCCAAAATGTTTGCTCATCTAGTTATATATATATATATATATATATATATATATATATATATATATATATATATATAGAATATAGAATATCTATATTGATTTATATATATAACCTTTAACCCCAAATTTACCAAAGAAGAATAACTGTTTTTGCTTAAACGAAAAAATAATCTCACTGAGCAAACAATTTGAGATAATTACTTTTTCTTTTTCAAATTTATTCACTTTGGTTCTGACCTTAAAAAAAATGAAAACTGAGAAAATATAAAACAGAAGAAAGAAACGAATTGTGTAGGGAACATGAAATAAGAGTCTAATGAAATCTTACGGTAAACTATTTTTTTATAAAAAAAAACGGGATAGAAAAAAGTCTAGTGATTACGCCTTTTCATTTTGTTGTTGTTGCCTTTTCTTATGAAGTAAAATACACAACTTAATTTTATTGTTACGTCTAATAGTAAATGAGTTGGAAAAGATTAGGTGAATAGTAGACCTCCTACTGTGCATTAATCAAAACAAAACAAAAAAATTGGGTTAAACTCAGTTCATATCGAATATTTTTTTGATAATGATAATTAAATAGAGAAGGTAAAGATAAATGAATATAAATTTCTGTATTAAATCAACAGAAAATAATGGTATAGTTGAAATCATGAGTAAATTGAAGCTAGTCTACCATGGAAAGCCTGGAAGCACTGGACGAACTTTTCGTCTTACATTACGGCTGTCCACTGCTTACAGGTTATCCATTGTGGACTAGCTTCAATTGACTCACGATGTTAACTACAAAATTACTAAAATCTAAACAAACCCCCCCTTCAGAGAATAATATATTAGAAGAAACGAATAAATAAAATATCCAGTAATTCAAAAAATCTACTGATAAGAGATACATTTTTTGAGGGGAAAAAATTAACGAGTTGATTTTCAACTGATTTTGTGGTATGATGTAGATCTTAAGGTGAGATTAAGTAATTGTAAAAATGAACGAGTTATTATTATAACAACATATATAATTCTTCAAATTAATATTATAAATGAATTAAACAAAAGTCAATTTAAGTTCAAGTCTGGTAAGTTAATAATGCAAGATTATAAACGATATACTATTTTTGAAAAAAAAAGTAATAAACCACTAACTTATATTAACACCGTTAGATGCCGGCTGGCTCAGTAGTCTAGAGGTTAAGCATTTGCGCGGGCAACCGAAAGTCTTGTGTTCTGATCTCGTGAGCGTGATCAGGAATTCACGCTGCTGAAGAGTCTCATACGAGGACGAAATGGCCGTCCAGTGCTACCAGATGTCCTATGACGGTCCAGCCTTAATAGACTAATGAATTCAACTATTAACTTACCACTATTTCTACAAAATCCCCTTTCTGGTAATAATAATAATAATCAATGTTTGTGCGTTTTTACCATGACAAGATAAATTCTATATAATTTTATATCTTTAGGGTGCTGTTATCAGTGAAATCTAGTAGCTATTATGGTTATATTCGAATAATCTTCTCAAACGACGTTCATGCTAGTAAAAGACAACAAAAATATCTTTCGTTTCATGGTTATTTTATCTTTTTTTCGAATGAATATTTACATCATTGTTTTCAGTAAAGTATTCATCTGGAATTCATATAAACTAATGAACCAGTGAAAAAAAGGGATCGCTAGTCAACGTTGTCCACTCAATTTAAAACTCTCTATAAGTGCATTTTCATATTCTTATAAAGACCATTACATATTTTAACAAGAGTGAAAGGTCCCAGTATTTAAATAAAAAACTAATTGACAAGAATTTAATTATTCTATTCAGCTAGCGATGTAGTGTTGGTGTGGTGTGGTCTACTAATGTCGATTGATATAAGTACTATATATAATCAATCGAAAGTGAAATGTCTGGAGGCAGAAGGTTAAGAAGATCAAACAAAAAGGAACAAAAACAAGGAATCGTTAATATGGAAACGAAAGAGCAGTGAAGTCTGAGATGATTAAATGATATTTGCAAAAGGAACATTCAATTTTGTGACAACTGACTAACATTTTACAAATCAAATATTTACTGCATGATTCTCAGATTATACTAAGATATTCTGTAATTTTGTATTCAAATGCATTTGATTTTCCCCACTTGTGTTCTGGTTCACTATATTAGTGATGTCGAATAGCACCACTTGTTAATGACTCCACCTCTTATCCATTTCCTATTTTAGTATAAAGCCTCTTACCTTATGTTGAAGATTATGGTATGTTTAAACAGTATTGGAAAATTATTTTAGATAAATGAAATTTACTCATGAAATAGTATCAGTTGAAACTGAAATAAAATCAATTCGGTTGTATCTTGAATTGCATAAATAAGTAAAGAAATTTGTTCTTCATCATAAAGTTCTCAAATAATGTTCTGATAAAAGTTTGAAATTTCTCAGATCAGAGACAAAAGAAAAAAATTATCAGGATTTGGAAAGTATGTAACTTAAGGTATCTTTTAGAAATATTAGAAATATAAAATCTGCGAGGTTTATTATGCTGCCTTATTTAAAACAGATTATATTAGGGTGCGAGGTTTCTGATTCTTAGGCTTGGACACCATCAGCAACAGCCTTCTGTGGGAGAGGACAAACCGACTTGCACCTGAAGAGGAAATTAAGAAATTGGATCGGACATACATTGACGAAATCACCAAACGGCATACCGAGGCAAGCTGTATCTTGGAATGGTGAAGGGTAGCGCAAAAGAGGAAGGTCAAAGAACACATTACACCGGAAAATAGAAGCAGATATGAAAAGGATGAATGTTAACTGGGAAGAACTGGAAAGGAATGCTTGAGACAAGGTTGGATGGAGAATGCTGGTGTGCGGCCTATGCTTCTCCACGACGGGTAGCAGGTGTAAGTAAGTAAGTACATAGATCGTATATAAAAGTAAATTATTTTGCATTAAGTTTTTCTTAATCTGATACATAATTGACCAGGCTATTGGTCTTTAATAGAAATTCAAAAAATCATTTTGATTTAAGGTTATAAAATCAACTAACCGTCGTAATCAGTCCCACTTTCTACCGAACTATCCAAAACAAATAGTATGGTGTTATTTTTCTCCTAACATTTTATCAAATACTCTGTTTTGGCTTATGTATAATCCTTATTTAAGATAACTACTGACTAGCTAATATACAAATGAACCAATTTCATGAACTAAAGGTAATGAAAAATTGTGAGTGAAAGCAATCAATCTAACTAATATCTCTGTTTTCTTTCACGGTAGGAATAGTCATTGGTCATAATAAGCATTTTACACTGTAAGTAATCAGACTATTGATTTAAAATGTACGTTTTATTTCTATTAAGCTTGTATATGAAATGTAAATATTAAGATTTTCGCATAAAGATAACTTTATTTTTTTAGACTTTTCCAAGTTTGGCACATTGATGCAGAGCATAAAGTTCCTATGTAAAAAGAAAGATATAACATAGAAGCTTGATTTCATTATAAGATCGATAAGAATAGTGATATGAAGTGATATGAGAACCGACTGTCATAATAATGACAAACACTTTATCAATAACATGTAGATGTAGAAGTGTTTTGTATTTAAGTATCAATTCCAAGTTCAACGGTAGATTTTATCTATCAGGAAATAATGTGAAATAGAAAACCTAGAGATTAGGAGATATCTATGTGAACATTTAACAGAACATTAGAATAAAGAGGAAAAAAAGGACATGGTGGATGAAAAGATTGACAACAACACTGAATGTAATGCTCAAGATTTCAGTATATTGAACGACTAACTTCATTTTTATTCTCATCATATTCATTCGTATCTATTTGACAATCTTCCAATTATAAGTTGCATAGTGTATAACTTATTCTAATGATGATACACACTGTGGAAATTCGTTTTTAACATAGAAACGTTGATTAAAACGTCTTATATACAGACTGGTGTTGAAATACGTAAAACCATAAGCTCACGATTTATCTTCATATCAAAAGAATAAAGAAAATAATTGAAGATGGGAGGCAAAATCCGACTCACATGTCCTCGTTGTGCCTTCTGGATCATGACAACCATCCCATGTACTAACGTGAGCGGTAATGAGGGTGATGGAGATCGGCCTAATCAACCACTCTACCAATACCCGAGAACGATTACGAATGCTACAAAGAGTCATTGCATAACTATTGAGGGTCCAAAAGAGTGGTAAAAAAAGAGTCTGCCCAAACAAAAACAAGGACAAAAAATGGGTTGTGAGTGTTATGTAATGGTTCTGCGTAAGCACTGCACAAACAGCTATCCCGCCCCGGTAGTTGTGTCGTGCTTCGATGTAGCACTCTTCACCAGAAGGGCCTACTAGGCTTCACCATTCTATATGCTTGGAAGATGTAATTAAAGATGCATATAATTTCATAAGACACTGAAATTAGTCACATCCTATGTGACTTGATCTCAACATAAAACTTACATTAAAGTAAACATGTAATATGACTACTTAGAATGTATGAGCAAATATGATCATAAAATAGCTGAATTTGTAATCTGTAAAATGAGTAGCCTCTTAAAATGTTAATTATACGCATATAAAGTAATCGATATGTATTTATATATAACAGTTTCAAAATTAGTCAATTTCAACTTCAAGAACTGATTTATGGAAACTTTTTTTTCTATCAAGATGCACTTAGTGAATATGAAATCATATTGATAATAGTTGACCTTGATTTGAAAACACTTAGACAAATGTTGGAAAATATATTTCACATGGATTAGTAGACGATTAATAGACGATTCCTGTAATTGTCACTATCCATATTCTTGTTGTTGAAGCATAGAGTACGTGTAAGAATTTGGTTCTGCTTTTATACTT